GGGGGCCTGGAGCCCTGGGTCCGAGGGAGGAGGACTGGGGTCCTGGACCCCTGGGTCCGAGGGAGGAGGGGCTGGGGGCCTGGAGCCCTGGGTTCGAGGGAGGAGGGGCTGGGGGCCTGGACCCTTGGGTCCGAGGGAGGAGGTTGCCGGGGGCCTCGACCCCTGGGTCCGAGGGAGGAGGAAAAGGCCGGATCCAGGAACCGTGGGTTCCAGTGGATATTTAGGGTCTCGGTGATCAGCTCTGATAGCACCTCCACCTCCCAGCTCCCTGGGCACACCCAATGGCCAGTCCTGCAGGCCTTTGCCCTAAAGTCTGTTGAGGGTTTTGGGGTCCTGGGCCCCCAGCCGCCCGGGAATCTTTGAGCTGTTGGTGGTGGGATGGCAGCTGAGTGCGGGGGAGAAGCGCAGCCTGCGGTCGCTTGGTGCATCTTGAGCCAAAAAAGGAAGAGTGTTGGGAACTCAGAGGGTGTCCGTGGAGAAGGGGAAGGGCTGGGCCCCCCCCCCATATTTCCAGCACCCCGTAAGGGGCATGCCCAGTGTGGGTGCGCAGTGAATTATCACTTGAATCTTGAATGAATGAATAAATGAATGAAATGTGAACTCCATGAGAGAGAGACCAGGTACCCTGGGGCTGGCACCAAGGACTTGCTCAAGAAACCGGTGAGCGGAGAAGGGATGCGGCCTGAGCTGGGGGTTGGACTGGGCTTCCGCGTGCCTGGGTTCCCATGGTGACTCCAAGCAGGAACGGGGAAGGGTGCGGGTGAGAGTTACTGGTGTCTGGGGGGTGAAATTTGAGTCCAGCTGTTTCCATGGCGAAGGGGTGAATAGGAAAGCGGAAGAGGAAGGGGCGGTGGCCACACTCCTGAGACCCGGCCCCCGTGGGTGTGGACGGAGCGTTGGAAGTGTGAGGGGCAGTGGGTGCCGAGTTTCCAAATGACCCTTGCCTCCATGGGCAGCAGGGGGATGGGTGGGAGAGGCTGATGGGGGAGAGGGAAGGCCTGTAGGAGGTGGATCTGCTTCCTTGGGGTTGGGAAGGGTTGGGATTCCTGGATGCATGTGTTTTTTTGGCCTCAGGTAAGGTCCGGTAGGCTGTGTAGGGGGGGTGTAGGGGTGTGTGGGGCAGGTTCTCAGCCTCCTGATCGGGGTTTGGGGCCAGTGACCCATGCTCTGGGGTTCCAGCCTCTCCTGAGGGGAGAGTAAGTGGGAGGAGCCTGGTGACCACGTGGAGGTCAGGACGTCCAGACTCTTGGTCCCAGAGCCAGGAGGGTCCCTAGGTTGGTTGCTTGCATCGCCTCTCATCCCCGTGGGAGAGAGACTTGTGGGGAGGAAGGCGGGTTGGGGCGGGTGGCCACGGAGCTGAAGGAGCATGCTGGCTTCTCCCGTTCCCCTCTCCTTATTAGAAGTTATGGCCCTCGCTGGTTTGGCTCAGTGGTTAGAGCGTCGGCCTGGGGGCTGAAGGGTCCTGGGTTCGATTCCGGTCAAGAGCACATGCCCAGGTTGCAGGCTCAATCCCCCGTAGCGGGCGTGCAGGAGGCAGCTGATCAGTGATTCTCTCTCATCATTGATGTTTCTGTCTGTCTCTCCCTCTCTGAAATCAATAAATTAAAAAAGAATTAAAAAAAAAGAAATTATGAAATACTCCAAAGTGTCAGAAAATAATATAACAGACACCTGCAGACCCATCGCCCAGAATTTTTATAAACAGATTTATTGAGATATAATTCATAGCCCATACAGTCTACCCCTGTAGAATATGTAGTTTATTCGCAGAGGGGTGCATTCTGTCAATCAGTTTTAGAGCATTTTCATCACCCCAAAAAGAGGCCCCATTCCTCTTAACCGGCGCCCTTCAGTCCTCCCATCCCCCCGTCCTAGGGAACCACTAACTGCCTTTCTGTCTGTGGACTCGCCTGTTCCGGACATTTGATACAAATGAAATCATACAGCATGTGGCCCTTTGTGCCTGGCTCCCTTCACCCAGCGTGGTATTCTGTAGGTTCACCCATGCTGTATCACGGATCAGAACTTCCTGTTCCTTGTTATGGTTGAAAAATATTCTATTACAGGGCGATCCCAAATTTATCTCTGTGTCCATCAGGTGAAGACGGTTGGGGTGGTGCTCACCTTCCGGTTATGAACAATGCTGCTGTTCTCATTCACGTGGTTTGGGGGGCCTTCGGTTGTCCCAGGTCATGTTCACTCATCTCTCTTCCCCCGCACGAGAAGGGGTGGTGGCTGGCTTCACTCTTTGGAGAGCCAGGGGCACAGGGGGCCTTAGTGCCTGCCTCTATCCACTGAGCCAAACCGGCCAGGGCAGTACCTGCCTTTTGCATGAGCTCAGCACCTTTTTCTGTCTGTCATTCAAACCCAGACATTGAGCCCTGAGCTGAACAGTGAGGTGTGGGCTGCGCCCTTCATAGGACACACATCCATTGGAGCCAAGAACATTGGTTACTGGGCTCCCTCGTGATAGTGAGGTTCCGGGGAGATCGGGTTCCCCGGGAGGCCCTTCCTTCTGTCTAGACACCCAGGGACCCTAGAACTAACCTGGCAGGGAGAGCAGGCTGGACCCGAGGACAGAGCTGGGGCATCACAGCGCAAGGGCGGCCGGGAAACCCGCAGGCCAGACCACGCCCGGCCTGATGCCCGCTGTACGTTACCGCCTGTCCTTACAGTTAAGGTGACGGGAGGACTTCTTCCTTCACCAAGTGTGTGCTAGGCCGTGGGGAAGGAACTGGGCTGAGCAGACCTGGTCTTCATCTCCCTGGGACGCAGGGTGTAGTGGGGTCACGCAGCAGCATTAATGGTGGCAGCCGAGAGAGTGGGAGGGACTGGTGGGCTGTTGGCCGGCCTGTGGGAGGAGTGGCAGAGGGACAAGGAGGAGTTGGTGGACATGGGGATGATGAGGGCTCTGACGTGTCTTCTCCCCCCTTCCCCCCCCAGACGGCCACAACCAAAGTCCCAGAGGTCCGTGACGTGACAAGAATCGAGCGTATTGGTGAGTGAGCCCGGACCAGGAGCAAGACTAGACCTGCCTGCCCTGTGCACCCCTGAAAGCCAACCTGCCCAGGACCCCGAGAAGCATGCAGCCTGCGTACCGTCCCCCTATCTGGGGGAGGGGGGCTGCGTTCCAGAGAGGTGTCAGATGGCACGTGGGGCACCCTGCTGGACCCCAATCCCAGGCTGCAGGCTTCCCCACCCTGTGGGCTCCCGGGTGCCCCGCATCCTGCTTGGAAGTCCCAGGGGTGGGAGTTTGCCGAGTGCTTATGCTTGGCTGCCGAATGCCCCATACCCCCGGCCCGCACTGGGCACCAGCTCCTCCGGGCAGGGACCGGTCCTGCCTCGTTCCCAGCTGTGCCCCCAGCACGGACGTGGCAGAGCAGGTGCCACTGAATGCACGAGTTCGATCCCGTTGAATCCTTGCAGTTGCCCCGCGAGGTGCACATTGTGACTGTCGCCCCATTTTAGCTGAGGCTCAGAGACTCCAGTCACCGGTCCCAGCTCACACCGCGCGTGAGCCACGGGCGGTCTGGCTCCGATGTCTTCTAAGAGGAGCCCTCTCGTTTACTGAGCATTTAGCATGTCCTGCCTTCC